TTTTTTTGTGCTTTAGCATCTCAAAACTTCTGGTTCTTCCTCATTCAGCTTCAGGGACATGCTGTTGCATAGTGTTGAGTAGAGGAAGGGGGCATGGGGAGGCACTGGGAAAATGCATGCCAGGTAGAGCACAGCACTGCACCAACTTTGACCTCTCCACATATTTCTTATCTGTGCCACCCATGGTGCAGGGATCTCAGCCTCAGTAGAAAGCTGCCATTAGGGTTAAGGGTTAGGGTATGGATTTGGAGAACCACCATGCCTACAAACTCCACAGACCAGGGCTGTAAAAGGCATACCAAGGAGATCATGTCACTTCACCAACATTGCTCTGTCCACAGCTTCCTGATCTTGAGGGCTTGTGGTACCAGGGACATCAGTCTCAATCCCAAGCCTCCATTAGGGTTAAGGTAACAGTCCAAAGATCTACACAAGTGGTAGCTCCAGGGACACCAGGGCTGGAGAGGGCATGCTAGGGGGAGAACAACACTGCACCAAATCAGTCTGTCCACTTGTTTCTTGTATGGGCAACCCATGGTGCATGCAACCTCAGTCTCAGCCACGAGTGAAGGCTGTCAGTGGTCTCTGGTGAAATACTTTAGTGTCTCAGCATTGGAAATCTTAGACCTTCCCAGTCTGATGTCAATGTTGTAGCCTTGAGAAGGGCTATCAGAGACTTCAGAGGAAGAAGCACAAAATTGAATCAGACCATTGTGGAAGTAATCAAACAGAATTTTTTTTTCCTCCTGTCCATTCAGAGGACAAACATGGCTTGTACTTAGAATTCTCAGCCTTTCCAGACCTCACAGAGGTTTTACTTATTTTGTAATGTTTGCTAATCAAACTGGGTATTTATATTGTCCAGAAAAAATCCAATTTTCTTTTGATTCATACTAAACTTCTGGCCAGAGCATTATATTAAGGTTCCCAGAATAATTCTGCACAAATTTGGCATCTTTGTGTTGCACAGCCACACGATGTGCCTGCAGTGGCCCACGCCACGTCACTGCTGAGCACTCTTGAGCAGCATGGGTCCTTAGAGCAAAGACCAAGCAAACACTGGGCTGTGGTAGCAAAAGCATGGCTCACAGGTCAAGGGAAGAGGCCATTGCCCTTTACTCAGCACTTTTGGGACCACATTTGGACCAAATGCTGTGTTGGAATTTGGGCTCTTCCATACTGAAAGGCTTGGGCATAGTACAGCAATCCCACTGGAGAGCTACTAAGCTGGCCAGGGGACAAGTCCACAGTATATGAGGGGATGCTGAGAGAGCTGAGCTTGCTTATCTTGTAAAAGACTCAAATTTTTCCTATGTTTCCATAACTGTAGTTCTGAAGACCCTAGAAATTTTACTACCTTAACAGTGGGTAATAAATCCCTGGATAGGCTCTGTTTACCAGTTACCAAGCATTTGAAAAGACTTTGGGGTGAAAATCACAGCATGTAAGTTAAGATAGCTATCAAGAGCTTTGAAGTCAACTCTGATGAGAATTTTTCAATTTTTCCAGCTCTTCCCTTTTAAAGATAATAATAGCATGCTGAACTGAGGAGCATTCAAAATACTTACTAATCTAGGGAAGGTGTCTGATGCCATATTTAACACATCATTTAAAAGGAAGCTTGAGGCCAATCTGTCTTTTATATAATCCGTTATACTAAATCCCAAAAGGTGGAATAAGGCTACTAGAATCAGCTGATACTAAGTGAAAATGTGAGTAATGCTTGAATGTTTCAGATTTTTTTTCTCTCCATAGTTAGCTATGTATGAGTCACTCAGGCTCCCTAGCTACTGCACTGCATGAATGACTCAAAACTCCATCGAGAACGGAGGCACAAGCAGTTCTCTCTTTGTGCCAGATTTTCTCCTTTCAAATCACCCTTGAAAAAAAAAAACCAACTCTTTCCTTGTTACTTCCTTCCACTGTCCCCATGCAAGCCCAGATAAAGCATTGTGCACAAGGATGGTCAGTGCTCGTGATTGAAAAAGCGTAGGCTATGATGTGTTAAAGTGAACTCAGTTAACCTTTTTTAAGAAGTGAAAATGTACATAAACTAGTTATTTTGCTGAGCTCCTCTGAAGTTCTTGGAAGAGCTAGGACATAGAACTTTTAATCATGCTGGACCTCAATGTCCTCTATGGAATTCTCCTGTATAATAGAGCTCAGTTTGGAGTCTTGGAAATTGTAGTCAATCATTTCTTTGAGAGAAAGTTTTAAATTCAGTTCATTGTGGACTTTAAAACATCTCAGTCCCCAGAGACCTGTACAGCTTTACAAACTAGTAATCCTCCTTTAGTTTAAATGGGATAAATTGCTGCTGAGAGGACTCATTTTAATTTGTACTAGGTATGTCCATCAGAACAACACACACAACCCCATTTTTACTGATGGCTGGATACATGCCTGAAACTAAGTTCCCTCTGCAGAGCTCTGAAAAGCTTTTCAGGGTCAGAGGCAAATCTGTTCCTGGTGTCATATTCCCACCTCCTCATCATTTGATGCATCACACGAGTAATTTGCCGGGGACTGAAAGGTGGAGAGGGAAAAATCATGCTGGACTGTACATTAGCTATCACTTGAAAAAAAAAAAAAAGCTGCATAATCTGGCTATTGCCTAACCCCATTACCTCACCCCTGGGCTGATCAACAGCTTCTTATTCTCTCATCCACATCTATATTGCAATGACCATGGGGTATTTTGGAAAGTGGGTATTTCCTCTTCCCAAAATCCATCCTCCAAAAGATCAGTCTGACCTTTTGGTCACATAGTGGGAAGAAGTGTACACAGCCATTTGTCAAGCAGATCTCAGTAAGACAACTGGTTTCAGTTCTGCAGTCTGTTTCCTATTTATAAGAAAGTTACCAAGTTCAGAAGGAATGACTGTGAATTGTTTTTCTAAGCCATGTTTCCCATTACACATTTGTAATTCAGCTTTTTCAGAAGTTGAGTTTAATTTTCTTCAATTCTTTAGCCTCTGGATACAACATCTTTATACACACAAAAGCAACAGCTGTCCAAGAGTCACAAACTCCTGGTGCTGTTAATACAAAGTCTTTTTGCTAGGATTTCTGTTTCAGAGTTAACCATTTCACTGCTAATTGTCTTAACCATCTGAATCCAACAAATGATGCAAGAGTGGGGTATTCTGCTAAGTAGGCAAAAGACTTCACTGCCAGACAGACTTAATTCGGATGAGTCCCTTCAGCTCATCCAGAGTTTATTCTGTTGTCATCATGAAACAGAGAATTCTTTTGGATCAGTCATGTGTTCTTTTACCTTGGGGCTTCTGAAACAGTTTTTGATCACAAGTCTCAAATTATGGTCACAGACTGCTGGCTTTGTCCTCTCCTTTGGCTAACACAGGCTCCTTCTGCTGGTGTTTAGACACCTAATTCAGGAGTCTAAGTTATGCTCTAGTCATCTGAGACTGCAGATATCCAGAAGAACGTGGATATATGAGGAAGAGGAGATAGGGTTGGGCTTGTTCAGCCTGAGGAAGAGAAAGGTTGGAGTAATCTCATTGTTGACCACAAGTACATTATGGTGTGATACAGAGAAGGCAAACTCTTCTCAGAGCTGTAGAGAAATTGGATGAGAGGCAACAGACATAAGCTGCAAAAAGAATTCCAATCAGATTTTAGGAAACATCTTTTCACTATAAGGACAGCAAAATATTGATATAGGTATTGGCATCTCCATTTTTGGAGATATTCAAAACTCATCCAGACGCAGTCTTGAACAACTTGCTGTAACTGCGTGTGCTTTGCCTGAGGGATTAGACAAGAGGACCTCCAGAGGCTCTTTCCAGCCCAGATTTTCCTATAGCTCAATAATTCTGTGAGTTTGCAGGACATCTCTGATACAGAATAAGAGTCAAAGCCACCCTGCTAAATTGCCTTTCACACGTACCTTTAGAAATTTTACACTACCATTAGTAGTGAATTTTCCTCTCCTTTGTATAGTTCAATGAAGTTTAATTTTGTTTTAGGTGGTGATCTATTTATTTTTTAATAAAAGTACTTTAGCCATAATGCTGCCTGAAATATTTTGGACATAGACTAAAATCACTCATTTCTCTCCTTTTTACCTCTACTTAGAGGATCTCATTTTTCTCCTTGCTCATCATTTTACCAGTTGAATTATTCCTATATATAATCTCTTCTATTAATTAACTTTTTCTTGTCTGTTGGCTCAAAGATATTTGGAATTGAAAACTGACAGAATATCAGTATATGTAGTTGCCTTATAATGTGATTAATTAGCATTTGGAAAGCACTTTGCAATCAGTCAAGGGAAAACTGCAAGGCTATGAGGGTTAACAGTGAGATCTTCTCCCTTACTTTTTGCTTGATTTGTTTTGTAAACAGTGACGCAAGCAAATACATCAGGACCCAAATTGGAAAGCCACTTCTTACTATGTTGGATTAAAGGAATAGAAGATCAGTTCAATGATTTTCCTTGCTTTTTGCAAGATATGACAGCTCTGGCTCTTTCTATACATTTGCAGTCAGCTTAGTTCTCATCAGCCTGTGTTTTGTCAGTTAAGTACTTATCTGAAACCCTTGCCCAGCAATCTTACCTAATGATGCCTTTCTCACCACTGCTGCTTTCAAAGCAAAAACTCACACAATCTTGTTTGGCATGCTATCTCCTATCCGCTCTTATTCAATTGAGAAAATGTCTTCAAAAACAACGGGAAACCTAAGAAAATGTGATAACAATCAGCAGTGTATTAGGGTTTAGGAAAGTGTGATTACAAGCACCATGGAGACCATTGTCAGGTCAGATCTGTCTTCTTTAATTAACTGAAATAGAGAGAAAATATAATGTTAATGACATTAACAAATGAAATTACCAAATTGTAGGTGTTAATATTGCTAAGTATAATTGTGCTAGGCATTATTTCAGAAGATATCAACCCAGAAAATAATTGTCTTTCCATTTTTTTAGTATTTGTTTCTCACTTCTTTTTTTTTTTTTCTTTCTTTCCATCTGACAGAGATTGGAAAATGTTCTGTGAGAGCCTCCTGAGGACTGGACTGGAATTGGCCTTCTTGTACTTTAGCTCAGAGATCAAACACTTTTACAGAGAAGAAAAAGTGTGCTTTTGGTTTTCTCTTTTTCCTAATGTACCAACTTAAAGGTGTCATCCCTTGGGAAAAACTCTAGACTGAAGGGTGAAGATTTTCTGTTTCCTTTTGATGTTTTCAGAATAATCTCGTGGAAAAATTAATTTAGGGACAGGATTATTTGGATGTTTTTTTCCCTATTTTAAGGCTTCTTCTTCCTTTGGAAAGATGAAAAATAAACATCTTGGAGAGAGAGCACAGATACTCATTTATGTGCAAAGTAGTGTCAGTTTTTTTGCAGAATCTGTACTGGTGATTTGGAGCTATCTAAAGTCACTGCTGGCAAATGTCATGACTAAGCCAATCACTGACTAATGTGGAAGACAAGAAATGGGGAGGGCAAAACTTGCCACAGAGACCAATCTGGATTGATCAGCACACCTGCACCATTAAAACATAGTTTGTAATACACTGTAGTGAAATTAAAGGACAAGTGTGTGTCATTCAGGAAGAAGACAGATATGCCTTTCTCTATATTTAGAAGTTCACCACTCACTATACATTTACTAGTAATAATCACATTTGTAATGAAAAAAATGAAACATGTCACTGGTACCACTGTCAAAAACTGTAGTCCTGCCAACATTTCTTAGGAGGCAGTGTGTAAACATTGGAAGCTACAAAGGAAAGGACTCCTGCCCCTTTGATGTCTGTGCAGCCTTAGCCACTTCCTTAAGCAGTGTTTTGGTCAGACTTTGTAGTCAAGAGTAACAATTCTATTTCAGTCTCATCCACCCTTCCTACTTCTTTATCTTTGATGGAAATGATTAGAAATTCATAATGTCTTAGAAAATTTTGGCAGTACCCACATAGATGTAGTAATTGCTCCTTACACACACACAGTCCTGTTCCAAACACTCTCCAGCAAAAATTTAATTTTTGTGTGTTTTTTATAGTCCATGTCACAAGACCTTACACAAAGAAAAAGTAAACAGCTGATGCTATAAGTCATACAATTCCCCTAAACCAGAGGTCTTTTCTTCTAACTGGTTTTATACAACAGAGCTATGAAGCAGGTTATTCTTAATGTTAGAGAGCTAAATACCTTCCTCCATCATGCACACTCCTGGCTCTCAGTATAAGAGGGACACATGACAAATACAAACACGGTGTGGAGAACCTTACTGAAGTCACTAAGGCTATAAGGGGCACATGAGCCCTCTGTGTTTCAATATAATTCAGAGTGCTTGCAAACACTACAGCAACAGCAATGCCAACCCAATTCCAAAAGATTACAGAAGGGTTCTCATAGCTCAAGGTTAATAAAGGCTGCCTCCTTCAAATAGATTCTGTGGTTGGCAAAGGCAGTACCAAGCTTTTTCCAACTAAATTTCAGTATAAACAATGCAAAACACATTTTCACACCATCTTTTACTATACAAATGGGTTTGAAGTAGACATGCCATCCTAGGAAAAAGACCTAGGTACATTCACTTGCTGCCTCCCCGGGGCCTAAGTTAAGGATGTCACAAAGAAAATTCCCAGACAGGCACAGCCCTCAGACTTTAAGCTGTTACTATTCCTTCATCTGGGTGGCAAAGAAGTCCAAGGGTGATGATAAGAGTCTCCAGGGTGTTAGGACAGTTGGCAAGGGAGTCGGGAGCACAGATTATCTTTTCCTCTTTGCTTCCAGTTGTGGGCACCAACACTGAAAGACAGGCCCAGTCTACTAATACATGGCTCTGTGGCTGATGTTCCCACCACAATTTTGGGCTGACCTAAACAGCACCAGGCCCACAGGTGTCAGATGGGATCCACCTCTCTGACAAGGGAAGAGCATCTTTGCTCACAGGTTTGAGGTACTCCTTGGCAGAGCTTTAAACTAGACTTGAAGGGGGAGGGGGATAATATCAGGTGTGCCTGAAAAGCTTTGGGGAATTCCACAGCAAGTTTATAGGGACAGAGTGCTAGAGAGGGCCCTAGGCTTGTTCCTAGACTGGAGCACACTTGAAATCTTATGGAGATGAGCCAGGGCCTCCTTTGGTAATAGGAGATAGCAGGGAAACACCAGTGAAATACCTCAAAAGAATTAAGGGCTGTTCCTCTAAGAAGGTGACACATTCAACAGCCCAGATGAAATCCTTTGTCTTCACCATCTCACTTACTGTTGCCCTGGAACTCCATCACTGGCATAGCTCTCCTATAGGGTTTCAAAGGCACCAGCTCTAGTCATGGCACTATGAAAAAAGAAAATGACTGTCAGCTGCTTTCTTGGAGGCATTTTTGTTTTATGTAGGGTGAGAAAAATTTCTGAGAGAAGCATTCATTTGTTTAGTAATGAAGTCAGCCAGCAAGTTAAGTGCTTCTGCCAGTAACTGTCTCCTTATTTCAGAAAATAAGATTTTTAACTTTGAAAATGAAATTCTGTGAACAAAGCACTTTTTTGGAAACCTTGTCTAGACACAGTCTTCTCAAAGTACAGGGTTTTTTGTTGTGCTTTTTTTTTTTGCAATTTTTTCTCAGTTCCCTAATTGCCATCTGCCATTAAAATCAACAGGAATTATGCTTGTATACCTGAGGAAGTATATGTCTAGTAGTTTTTAGAAACTAGAAATGGATTAATTAAAACTGGATTTCACATTAAAAACAGAGGAATCAGCTGACTGTGTGCTGTAGAAAGGAAAAGAGCTGACTTAGAAAGCCTTAGGAATCTGGGTTATCACAGGAATTCTGCCAAGGCATTTTTCTATAGTGGTAGATACTGCTATTTTGACTTGCACACTTCTAAAGAAATATAGACTGCTTTATTCCCTTGTCCCAGATATATTATTCAAGTACTTAAGCACTTTATATTTTAATTAATTGTATCAGCTAAGTGTATATTTAAAAACTGAATTTCTGTGCAGAAATCCTCAAAATATTAATCACTTATTGTACACCCCTCTTCTCCACAGCCTGCCAAGCACTGAGTCATAATTCCATTTTATTCTATTCTTTCCATTGCTGCACAACAATTACACAGTCTAGAGAAAATTATATTTATTGTTTAATCATCAGGGAGACCAGCCCTTCACAAGAGAAGGAGACAGCAGCCTGTGCAGATAGATGACTTAAGGGAGGGTTGCAGAACATGATCTGGTTAAAAGTCATCTAAACTCAGTAAATGGAAGATTTGGAAGCTGTGGTGGGAGGTCATTTCTTCTGGCAGACTATGTTGAAAGAAAAATTGTAAAGGAAGAATACAACTGCTGTTCTCACATTCACTGTGCCAACCTGCAAACTTTTTATTTTCCAAAACTTTGCTAACCTAGAAGAAACAGAAACTGCACATGGCTGTTGTTGAGGGTTTGAATTGTAAAATAAAATCCAAAGTAAGCCTTTCCTAACCACATATTGTTTTATTTACCCATTGCAAATGGAGCAACACCAGTGGCTAAACATGGGAATAGGTCCAGTCAAATGACTTCTCAACCTCATCCATGCCAGCATGGGTTTTTAGAAGCTGTGCTTCCTCAAAAACCTATCCCTAGTTAGCACTGCAGGGCAATCCCTCCCTCCAGACCACTCAAACAGAAAAAAGAAAAAGGACATAGGAAAATTTGGCCACAAAATGCTCATTTAAAAAAAAAAGCTAAATATATGAAATCTGTTTTCAAAGGTTCCAAGGTTGGACAAATATAAAAAATCTGTTTTCAAAAACTCCAAGGCTGGACACAGTGATGTTCTACTTCACAAGGAGTCAGATCGCCTTGACAAAATTAGTGTTTCAGGAGGTATTTTGCAGATATAAACATTAATTAATTGCAAAACTGTTCCTGACTAAACAAATCAGATGCTCTTAGATAGTAGCTCAAATCAACCTGCCCAGATCAGGGCTGTGCAGGCAAGTAGCATGTCTTGAAGGATTGTACCCAGGCTGTAATTGCTCATTAGAAAGCACAGTGGAAGGACTATACCCAACAAAGAAATAAATTCCATCTGTAAATTTCAGTGGAGTCTTATCCCAGATGTGATGCTGTCTTCAAGTCAGACCTTGTGGCTGGGACTGAGCTCTCCAGACCTGCCTGGACCCGCTGCCAGTGAGGGCACTGGCTCACCTTTACTCCCTGCAAGCCAGCCTGGCACTCACGGGCTGATGGAGAATGGGCTGTCAGTGCGTGCTGGACAGACACCCAGCCAGGGAAATCTGCTGCAGATGACTGGCTTCTTCAGCCACTGGGAAAGTGCAGATTTACCATGTTAGAGGTCACACTGCTACATCTGGTTTCTGACAGCATTGAGTTAGGACCAGGGTCAAGTCAAACAAAAAAAAAGAGGCTTCAGGTGAGAGACTAAAGCTCTGGCAGCCGGGGGTTTGCAGTTCCAACTTTAGGCCAAACTTTTGACTCATGCTGGATGTGTGAACATGAGCAATGCAGTTGGCTCCTTGCTGCCTAAATCAGCTAGGCTGGATGATTGAATTATGGCTGGACCTCCCAGAATCCAGATGCGAGGTCTGAAGTGACCTTTCTAGAATAAATAAGAATGAGTTTGCCCATTGCCTTCAAACTCAGCATATAAGTGTTAGTCTGTGCTAGAGAGCTACAGTGAAGAGGACAAGGGAGAGAATGACATAAGTTCCCCCTTCCTTAGCACAGTGGAGAGATTCTTGTAGAAATGAATGGGGCCTTTTCTCCCTTACACTGTGGGAATGCTACTTTCCAAGGAGTTTGGACTCAGCTTGCACTCAGCTTGCCTAAATATACACTTCTCCATAACACAGCACACGAGTGCATCCAGGGCACTGGAAGGAGAACAAACACATAGAATCATGCAAGAATTGAGGTTGGAGTGGCCTCTGGAAGTTATAGAACTGTTTCCAAAGTTAAGTCAGCTGGCTTACAGCCTCATTGAGTGAAGTTTTTAATGCCTCTAAAGACGAAGAATTTGTGGAGGTTTTGAGAAACCTGTTTTAGTATTTGACCAGCCTCACTGAAGAAGTTTTCCTTATGTCTAATCAGAATTTCCTTTGCTGCAGCTTGGTTTTCATCTTTCTCTGTGTACCCAGATAGCTGTCTGGCCACATCTTCCATGTAGTAGTTCCCTTTCAGATTAAAAAACCAGTCTGTAGCTTTTCTCTTCTCCAGCCTAATCTCAGCCCTCTGGGTATTTTAGTGGTCCTTAGCTGGACTTACT